GTTTTCCCACCAGAACTGAGTTTTCACTGTAGAAAATGTTGGTTTTGTGGACGCGTTCGTGGAGGAAAGTCCTTCCAAGGGAAGAGTCCTGACCATGGTGCCTCAGCCAGCTCAGCGAAGGCAGTTTTGGGATGATCTGCAATCTACAGATAAGTCAAAGCCTTGTTTGATCACAGGGAGTGACTGGCAGCTAAACGATACCTTATGTACATTCAGACAGGAATTTGTCTCCCGAAGAGCCCTATACTTCTACACTAAAGATTTTTCCCAGTCCTATAAACCCATAAGCAGCCTGAATTCCTCAGAGATCACTTTTAGTCTGTGTGAACATTGGTTTTCAGTAGCTTTGAACCTATGTCAGATGCATGAACATTATTACATCAGTCATCAGCTGTATTTCCACATAAGCATTAGGTAAACATGGGTATGAAAATACAAATATAAGAATAAATCTGAAGTGGTAGAAATTTACAGCCTCTGACTTTGACTTCTGTTCTCTCCTTGGACAAGTTGAGATTAAACAGTTTGCACTTCCAGGCAGATCTATCTAAATGTATTACCTCATGGCATTTGAAGAACGGGGATGTCTCCAGGGTAGCGCGAATACCCTTCAACCGGTTAAGGTAACTGTTCTGGAATTACAAAAGAAAAAAAAAACCACAATGTAAGCCGTCAGTGCTGCAGGGGGCAGACAGGAAAGTCATCCGTCCCAGCATCCTCTCCATGATACCAGGTTTGCACGGAGAGGTGCCAGGGGTGTCCCTCAGCCGCCCTGCGCTTCCCATCCTTAGACCTGTCCCCTTCTTTTTTGGGATCCACTTATCCTTTTGGCCTCTATGGCAACCTGTGACTTCCAAAACTTAGCGAGAGCATTTGCTTTTGCTGAACTGGTGGTTTCTACAGACCTTCCCTGCTGCATCCGTCGTGGTCCCGAGGAGGGAACAGCTAATTTGGCAGCCGCTGCTGTGCACACATAGCCAGGCTGCTTTTTTTCCTCTCACCTGCGTTTTTGTTTAATAGGTCAACCCTTCACCTCATCTGTCATTTTATCACTCAGTCAGTCAAGCATAGTGAGATGCTTCTGTAATTCCACATCTGCAAAGTTGGTACCATAGGTGGAAGGGCTTTCACACTAGTCAGCATGGAGGTCAAGACCCACACGCCTGTTCCAGCATCCCTGCAAATTGCTGGAAGGCACTAAGCGTTCTCAATGGGCCCCTTTGATAATTTGATTTGAAGGTTTAGACAGAAGGACTAAGCACAGGAACACACACAGCAGGTATCTGGGCACTGTAATACACCTAAATTTTCACATTTGGACTGCGTGGGAAGATGTGAGGGTCACTGTACAGCAATGGTTTGACCAAAGAGCCCCATCCAGAGCCAGGGCATGATGGTGTGAATGTGCTCCAAGCTTTTTGGGGATAAAATGCAGCCAGGCAACTTCATTTACAGACCCGGGAATAATCCCTGGGTAACTCTCGTCAAAGTGAACGTGCCGGTTTAAAGAAGGCAGTGCCAAGGGCTACACCAGCTGGAGCCCTGCCTTTGTAGGCTTTGTATAGTGCAGCTTAAAACAGGAGCACTTCGTCAAATAGGATATTTGACATGATTGGTGTAAACTGTTTACAGCTACATCTCTTATTCTCCTAGTAACACGGAGAAACTTGGGAAATACCAGCTGGGGCTTGCCCATGTGAAGGGTGCCTGGCACAGGCACGGGGATGCCTTCGCCACCCGTCCTGTGAGACTGAGCATGGGGCAGCCCACTCTGCCAGGGTGGGAACCCCCACCCCCTGTGCACATACCCCAGCACACACTGGGGTAAAGAGCAGGCTTGCAGGCTGCTGTCAGCCCCGGGGCTCTGCCTCCGCAGCAAGTTTTGGGGCCAAGCCCTTCAGCATCCTCAGCAGACCTGGACCTGGCCCGAACGGTGCTGCTGCAGCAAACATAGAATCATAGAATGGTTTGGGTTGAAAGGGACCTCAAAGATCATCTAGTTCCAACCCCCCTGCTATGGGCAGGGACACCTTCCACTAGACCAAGTTGCTCAAAGCCCCATCCAATCTGGCCTTGAACACCTCCAGGGATGGGGCATCCGCAACTTCTCTGGGCAACCTGTTCCAGTGCCTTACCACCCTCGGAGGGAAGAATTTCTTCTTTAGATCTAATAGAAATCTATCCTCTTTCAGTTTAAATCCATTGCCCCTTGTCTTATCGCTACACGCCCTTGTAAAAAGTCCCTCTCCAGTTTTCTTGTAGGCCCCCTTTAGGTACTGGAAGGCTGCTAGAAGGTCTCCCTGGAGCCAGCCTTCTCTTCTCCAGGCTGAACAATCTCAACTCTCTCAGCCTGTCTTCATAGCAGAGGTGCCCCAGCCCTCAGATCACCCTCAGATCATCTTTGTGGCCCTCCTCTGGACCCACTCCAACAGCTCCATGTCCTTCTTATGTTGGGGATGTCCCCTCCCAGCCCTCTGTGGCTCTCACCTCACCCCCATGCCAGGATGGCATCTCTCTTTGCCCTTTTTCGTGTTTTTTTGAGAGAGATTGCTCAGGCTCAAGCCCCTCAGGGCTGGGAGCTGATGGCAGCCTCTGCAGGAGGAGCCCTCCCTCCAGCAACCCCTACTCACCAAAACGTTGCGGTTTCCTCTAGTGAACTCCCTGAAGGCCTCCGTGACTTGTTCCTTTGTCCGTGTCTTTTTGAAGTCCCGGTTCACAGTGCCATCCTCTTTCTTGAAAAGAAGGGAGAGCGGTGAGCAGGATGAGGAGAGAGGGAGCTGGGGCAAGGATGAGTGTTTCAGCAGCCATGCCTGTCCCCAGGTAGGATGCGACCAGCCTTTTTGACAGCTGAGGGACCTGTCTACGGAGGAGGGGTGAGCAGAGTCTCTCTGCCTCGCACACCCCAAACCATGTCACAGCCCCACTGCATTGCCCCCTAAGGCAAATGGCAAGTCTCCACCATCACACGCTTGTCAAGGTCACCAGCAAATTGGACGAGCTATCTGTCATGGATGTGGCACTTTCTGCCCACCAGTGGCTGGAGACCACCTGTCGCTGGCGTGGATGGAGACAACATCTCGGAAGCATCCCTATGCGTGAGGTGATCCCTGAACCACTGAAGCAAGGAGATGAAGGCAAGGAGTAAGCCCCACGCCTGTCTTGCCTCACTAGTCTGATAGCCCCTGGATAGCAAACCGTCGAAGGCAGCAGCCTGGCACTGAGATGTAGTGAGCAGCCTCGTGCTCTCCACCACCTCTTCTCCAAAGGCACATCGAAGCTGGGCCTGCCATGGGGATGGCACAGCTTGGTCCATTGCAGAGACGGCACACAGGCCTGGCCCAGAGGCTCCTGGCCGAACCTCTGGGCAGCTTCGTAAGTCGCTCCTCGTTTCCTCAGTCCTGCTGGGGCTCTGGTTTTTAGATCGGTGTGTTTCATCATCCAGAGTGGCCATGGGTTGGTTGGGCAGGCAGAGCTCGCTTCCTGGATACAGGGGCTATTTTAAACCACACGTGCTCATGCTCACAGCTCCGCTTGCAGAGCTCCATCCCACCGCTCCGGACAGCTCGTTTGCACACAATAGAGTGAAGGGACAGAGACTAAAAAGGCATCCTGTGGACTGGGGAAGATGAAATAAGGATGAAGAAGCAGAGCAGAGGCTGGGGAAGGAAGAGATTACAATGAATCACCTGCCCTTGAGATTTATGTGCCCTGGCAGGACTTGGAGACCCTTCTAGGGAAGTGCCCTGGCAGAGGGCTGGCCATGGGAAGTCCAGCTTGGGTGAATGCCAAGCACCCAGGCTGCGGACGGCTGGGCAAGGCGAGCCCGGCACCAAACCCACACCTGACGGGCGGTTTGGGATGAACCACACAGCGCGCTTCTGACTTCCAGCTCACGTTTTGCGCAAGTGTTCACAAAGGTGATAACAAAAGCAACACGTGAAAGGTCTTTGTCTCCAGGAAAATCTTTGTTTGCTTGGGGTGCAACCAATGCACTCGGCTTCAAACCACCCCAGACCCAACCTGACCGCCTCTCACCCCTGTACTGGTGCTGCCACTGGGTACAAAAGCGAGGCTAACGGCTGGTGGGGCCCACACCACCGAAGGCTGGGGACAACCTTCTGGCTGGACAACTCACTGCTGTGGCAGCCAACCTGCTGACAGACCCAGCAGAGTCGGGCTCTCTGCTTTCAGCTGCGTCTCGCCGAGGAGGCTCTGGTGGCACACGCACAACATATAGGGGAAGGGCGCTATGCCGCTATACGTCCGGCACGTGAGCCCTGACGCAGCAGCTCAGAAATCGACCCACCCTCTCCCCGGGGAACAATAGATATTGATTTGGAGAAGTGCCACAGGGCTAATTCCACATGTAAAGAGCACAACTTTCCACAAAGCATCCAAGAAAGGAGATGGACTTCTAAGTGCTCCTAAAAATAAGTGAAAACCACAGATGGCCTTTCAGATAAGGCAATCCAGGCTCCAGGAAAGCCAAACAGCCTATCCATAGTGCTGCTCCCATAATTAGCCCCCACCCCGCAGTTTCCTTGCCCAGCCAGCCGCTGCCGCTGCGGGGCTGCCAACTGCCACGACATTCACAGGTGTCCAAGCCCCGAGGGGGCTGGCTTCTCCACCCCAGAAACATGAGGGGGGCTGATAAGGGCTATCGCAACCTCCGCCCCACCAGCAATTCCAGTTTGCACAGGGCAGCCGGTTCCCCCTCCGGCTCTGTGTCCGGCCTCAGACAGGGCTCACGAGCTGCCCATCTCGGGAAAGTCAGGTGAGGGTTTTCAGAGCTGGTTCTGGGACCCCACAAACATCCCAGCCCCGGGGAATATCATCGCACTGTGGCCTTGCTGCAGGCAACAGTGAGTGACTCTCAAACTGGAGCAGGAGCTCGGGAGCAAAACTTGCTGGAGTGAGCTCCAGTAAGCTTCAACTGGGTCACCAGGCATCACTTGCATCACTTTTAGCAGGGTAATTTTATTAATAGTGACTGTTTATAACAGTTTTGAGCTACACCAGAAAGTCAGACGAGTGTCATGATCTCTTTTTGCAGAGGAAAATTTTCATTTTACAAGAACCAGATCCTCAAGGCCACCTGAGAAAGCAAGAGCTTGACCAGGAAAGGGTCTCCAGCCTCATTCCCAACCCCGAGCTATCTGTTCACCCCACCTGCCCTTACCACCAATCCCCTCCTTCTCCTGCGTCCCTTTCCAGCCCATGCACCCAGGGCCAAATCCTGCCCTTCCCTTGCACAGGAAGGCACTCTCCGATATCAGCCTCTGGCTGTGAGCGAGGGGCAGGGCAGATTCACCCCTGCTAATCCCAGGGAAGCATCCCCAGCAGGATAGAAAACACAGGGAGACTTATTGTTAAATAACATCCTCCTAAAATTTTCTCTGAGGGCTCAGTAGCCACCTCGGGGCACCAAAGACACTTTCCCTAATGTCGAGGCTTGACCCCAGGAACAGGGCAAAGGCAGGGATACAGCGCAGCACAACCAGCTCTACAGCCCTGCTGGAGAAAAAAAAAAGTCTAGCTGGGAACCAGCGTGAACTGTTAATGCTTTAGCTTAGGGGAAAATAATCCAGAAGCTGAGGGATTTAAGAAGAATTATAGTAATTAGAGCCTTGATCAAATTAGTCAGCCCCTAGCAGCAGCAGCAGGAGGAGGATTACTCCCGGAGGCCAGCACTTCTCAATATTTTTCAATTAAAGGGCTGCCTCACTTCTTGGGAAAAAAACCCACTGCTCGCATCGTGCAGCAGCTTGCTTATGGTCGGCTTAGAGGTGCAACTCTGAGCACTCCTTTATGGATTTTATTTTCCTCCACGGTGTTTTTTGGCATGTGTGGGAATATGCTTTGGGGATGGATTCTTTTCATTTGTTTTGCTTTTTACATTTTTTCATTTCAAGCAGTTCACATATGACCTGCTTTTGCTGTAAAGCCCCCTAAACATCCCCAGATCACAGGCTGAGAAGCACTGCTGGAGGCGAAGGTTAGATCACGTTGGACTATAAATAGACAGATATTCCTGATCATAGCAAGAAAGCAGAGAGAAGAAACAGTGCATGGGAGCTTTGGTCCCAACTGGCCTGCTCCTTTTTGTATAGCCTTGGTTTTATAATAAGCACCAGCAAAACAGCAGCAATGGGAACTAGGCAAAGGGTTGTCCAGAGCCAGAACCGCTCACAGCATGCTCGTGGGTGCCCATGGCAGAAAAGGGACTTTGGGAGAGCTAGGGAGATTGGGGAAGAGCTGCAGGAGCAGGAAAGTGCCTGACCCCATGCAGTCACCACAGAAAGCTGCTGCGGGGGAATATGACTGGCAGCATCCCAGGCAGGGGCACCAGACAGGCAGGGGTGTCTTGCGTTGCTCACGCCGGAAAACTCTTCAAGGGGTTCAGCCCAAGGGCTGCTCCTCAGGTTTCTGAGAGTTGTTGTGTTAGAGATAAATGCAATGTCCTCTGCTGGCCAGAAAACAGTTGAATGGAGAAGGTGCCCTCCTCTCTGAGCACAACATGCTCTGCTGGACTTCCCACAGCCCGAAAACTTTGTCCGGCACAGCGGGACAGGACAATCCCTTCCCACTGGTGGTTTGGTATGTGGGTGACCAGAATCAGTGGCTCTAAGTGACCCACTCCTGCTGATCACCTTGTAAACCCCTGATCTACCATCTGCATTCACTTGCTGTCTGACTGCTGAGGTCAAGGGAAACACTCCTAGGAAAGTCTGGAAAATCTAGTGAAAAGGCTTTTTCAGAGAATTGCTTAGCTTGTTCTAATTCTGTCATTTTGACACCACCATCTCTGGTCAGGAATGGTGCAAGAGTTTAAGGCCAAAGAGACCCAGATGGGTATTCTGGGAAAACCCTGGCCAACTCAGGGAGGAGAAAAACAGTCTGTGACCAAGAGAAGGAAACTCCTCCAACCAAGATACATATAAAAATTGAGCAAGCAGCTGCCCTGAGCTACCACCTGGGCCCCCACAGTGCCCCAAGCCTGAGTTACTCCAAGCACAATTTTATTGAGCTGCCAAGCCAATGCCATGCCCAGGCATGCGCTGAAACCCTTAGCTCAAGCGTGATATCACCTTTAATTCGTGTTGGCTGGCTATCAAAAGGCATATGCCATTGCTAATGTTCATGCAAGTCTTCTCTCACTGATACAACTGCTCTGCAGTTACAGACCTAACTCCGTTCAAGTGCCATCCTGGACATCTCTCTCACCACCAACTCTGCTCACCAGGAGGAGAAACTCCTGAGCTGGTTCATCTTATGAGACACGAAAGCATCCTAGCAGGTATCTCCAGAAATGCGAGCATTAGCTCCAAACAAATGCAGTCAGTAGATAACACGTGCGTGCAGGTGTCGGCAGAAAGTGCTGCTGCTTGCATTCACTCCATTTCATGGGGCTTGGTTGACGAACTTTCCTGGACAGGGATGTAAATATGGCCTCCTCACCAGCTGCGGCTAAACTCACAGCTCCAACCAGAGACTGGCACATGTTCAAGCTGGGATTTGGATTAATGGCTCAGCACAGCAGTCTCAAAAGCAAAAACTAATTTGAGCCTTCAAAGTTGGAGCACGGCACTTAGCATTTCACAGTCAAGGAAATCAACCAAGTGGCTGATTTAATGAGATTAAGGCTAAAACTGTCCTTTTGCATTGATGCCCTGAGCTTGGCTGCACTCTCAGAAGAGCAGTGTCGCTCCAGGCCAGGGTGGTTTGGCTGCAGAGACCAGGGATGTCCTGATGTACCACAGTCTCACCACCAGCTCGCTGTGTGTGTATCTGCGTGCGTGTGAGCGCATTTGGTTACTGAACACCCCAGTGTTTCCCCCTGCTCTGCAGTCCCGGAGCAGCCTCACCTTTATCCCCTCGATCCTGAAGCCCAGTGTGGCGGTCGAGCTGATGGTCTCCCTCCACTGCATGTAGCGGGGTTTGGTTACTGCCCGCAGCACGTTCTCCTCCTCGGTGGGGGCATCAGGGTCCACCTCAATCATCTTCTGGTACATGTCCTTCCTCAGGCTTGGCTTCTTCCGGGCCTTTATCAGCTCCTCCTCCAAGTATGTCCTGCAAGGAGCGAGGCGGGGACATTAGCAAGACCACAGGGCCACCACACAAGGTGCCACAGGCAGCCCTTACCCCAGAAATCAGACCTACCCAGGATAGCTGATCCCTGGGAAGTAGAGTAGCACGGGAAATAATGGAACAAGACTGCTTGCACGTGAGTTGATCCTGATTTAATTAGCACACCATCATAAACATCTGAGATCTTCTCAGTTCATCAGGGAACCACAACCAGTTCAGCAATAACAAGGGAGATGTTATTCCACCAGATGCTCATGGTGTTGCTGTCACCCCTTGGTCCTGGTGGGCCTGTCCCTCAGCAGACCTGAACAGTGACTCTCCCAAACTAAACATGGCTTTTGAGATATGCCCAGGAAACTGCCCATCTGCTCTGGGAACCGCCTGGGTTGAAGGTGGGAGGGAGTCTGCCACATCCCGGCCCTTGGCATCAGCAGCATCTGCTGCTCCCTCTGAGGTCTGGCCAAGGTGGGCGGCTGCTGCCAAAGCTGCTCTCGTGTCTCTCTTGCACTTTGCCATCCCTGGCGTCTTCACACAGGGCTGTTTCACTGATGATGATTTTGCCCTGTATGGGTCCATTTTAAGTGGACTGTCTAGCAAAAGCTGCCTACACAGGACGGAGGAGAGGAAGGGATGCAGCCTGGGCCAGGTGCTTACCATCACCCCCAGGACTGCAGGGTGCAGTCAGGATGAGGGAAGGAGGGTGGAGGGTGCAGGGGTATGTGCAAAGAGCTTGGTTTCATGCATCCTTCAGAGATCACCACTCTATGCCCCTGCACACCAGTGGACAGCTTCTGCGCTCTGGCATGTGGAAAACCGTCATCCACAAAATACTACATCCTGCAGCAGTAATAAACCACTATGTAACTCCTCTTCTGGCACCCAAACCCGCCCCAGCTCAGTCCAGCAAGTGCCCAGGCTCTCCCCAAACAACTCACCAAGGTGGGTGAGATGTCCCAGCAAAACGACACAGGAGTGACCCTACCTGTCAGCTCCTTTCCCCAGATCCAAACTGCTCTTTGCCTTCCACTAGCCATGCCCAGCTCTTCAGAGGGGCCATGCTCTTTCCCCATGTCACTTGTGCCCAAACCCTGGCACTGAGCCTGCGGTTCACCTCCAGAACCGAGCAAAACAGGTGGGGAGGATGCTAGACAGACTATGTCGGACAGTGTTCCTGCATTTCCCACAGGCTTAGCAAGGCAAATGGGTGTCTTTTCTCAGGACAGGCATATGATCACTGAGCAGACGTGCCCAGGGCATCAGCCCCTTTGAAAAGCACTGCAGATAAAAGCAACAAAGGGCTTCAGCTGAGATCACCAAACCCATGACTTTTGGGCAGCTGGAATAAAATAGAATAAAACAGCTGCGTGCTCCCAAATGCTGCTCACGCTGCTCAGAAAGTCAGATTTCCTTTTGATGAGAATGACAGGTTGTCTCTGTCTGCGGTTTGGTTGCCCCGTATCACTCCAGGCTTGGACCATCACCAGGGCTTAAGCTGGACAAAGCTTCATTCAACGGGAGGAGGCTGCCACATGCTGAAGCTAGGTTGGCAGGGAAAAACCAAGCCTGTATCCGCCTGGCCACAAGCTGCTGGCTCAGAGGACAGGTTTAATAGCCCCGAAGTTTAGTTTATCTGCCAGAGTCTCTCCTGCTCAGTCATGGGGATGCCCCACTCCCCAGTATTAGCCCCATTCATCCTCCCTCATCAACTCCTGCAGCACCATCTTATTTAACGATGCCCCCTTGCCTGCTTTGCCTGTCTTAGCTCCGAAAAGCCAGGTGCACAAACCACCCGACCTGTGATTTGTGCGTGGGAGGCTTTCCTCCTCCCAGAGACAGCCTCAGGAGCAACTGGGCAGCATGACCAGCAGGTCTTTTTCTGGTGGTTGCCATCTCTGAGTCCAGAGCAGGTCTCGTCTCCTTCCCACATGCTGCACCAGGGCCCCCTGCTCTTCTCTCCACCCCTCCGGTGGAAAGTATTCCTTGCCTCTTCCCTGTCGACAGCCCAACACGCCAGTTGGAGTTTCACATCGGGAGTTCAGGAGGGGAAAAAAAACAGATTCCTCCTTCCCACAGAAACCATCAGCTTTTCCAGCAGCGCAAGCATCTCCACCACGTCTGAGCTGCACCTTAAGCCAGCGAGGGGAGTTTCAACCTGCCCCACCGCCAGCCAGCAGCTGACCCAGGGCCAAGCGGTGGTCCGGGGCTGCTCCAAAACCAGCAGCTGCCTGGGGCCACCAGCTCTGCTCACGTTTGCTCTGGGGCACCCTCGTCAGCTGTGGCATCGCTAGCTCAAAAAAAACTGCTGCTGGCCAAGTGGCTGCAGCCTGGGATCTTGGCGTATCTGGAGATGGTTCTTGAGGAGGACACGGGTAATGTTGCTCATCTGTTAGGAAACATTTCAAGAACTTCGCATGAAAGGCACTAGACTACTTAGCACACACGTTTTATCTCTCAAGTGTGTGTGGGAGCAAAGGGTGAGCAGAGGGAAAGTCTCTTGCTCGCCGAAGCTGTGACATTCAAGTGTCTTTATTTCACCTCTCTGGCACGTTGGGCAGGATCTCCCACACCTGCTCCCTGTCCCTTGGCTGTGTCCTCCTATGGCAGAGAGAGGCAGGTTGCCATCCTAAAAGCTACTGTGCTGTTCCGGTGTACCTGAACCCAAACAGCAAGCCATTCCCTCCACTGCACCAAACCACTTTCCTAGCACATGGATGGTCCACAAGCAGAGGAGGAACAAGCCTGGTGTGTCCTTCCCATACATAGGGTTCCCCACAGCCCCTTGTGTGTTTCAGAGGGTTTTACCCAGGAGATACGTTTGCTTTGAGTATCCCATCTCAAAACTCAATCAATGTCCCCAAAGCCACTCACCTGACTCCCATTTTGCAGTCCATAACACAGGGGGAGTCAAATTCAGCCAGCAGATCTTCCATCTGGTTGTATCGCTCCCCATCCTTCACGACGTCACCGTGGTAGGCAGGAACATAGGGCTTCAGGACATCGTTCATCAGGCGGTCGAGGCAGCGCTGCTCCGATTCACAGTGCTTTTTCAGTATCCTGCCGTTGGCCGCTGCCTTGAAACTACCTGAGGGCGACAAGGGACAACGTGGCCCTTGCTTCAGATGGGAGATGATGCTGTGCCTTCCCAACACAGAAAGGGCAGCCGGACATCTTGGAAGCACCCCTGTTTACACCTGCACCCAAAAGAGTCTCCGTGGGCTGGGACTTAACAAGCTCGGGCTGATGGATTCACACGCAGTGTCGGAGGTTTATGACCAGCAATGTCACACCCGAAACAGGGCAGAGACCTGCCCTGCAGCATCCAACACGTTTGCTTCCCAGCCTCTGCGTGCTTCATGGCAGGGTGCCCCCCCCTTCACTCCTCTGTCTCTAGGCACGTGCATGGGGCATCTTCATGCCGGGCAGTGTCACCCGCTTTGCTGTGGATCAGCAAGAGGGCTTGGGTCTCACCAAAAAGGACTCAGCTTTTCTGCTGCTTGAGAAAAAAGTGGCAGTAAAACCCGTTGGCCCCGGGAGACTGAAATCATAGAGCACTGCACCTTCCCATCACACTCCCTAGCATTTAAGTAACTCACTCTCCTGGGCTAGAGACGTGGGAGATGAAATCTGTGACATTCATGCAGCAATCAGAAGCAACTCTGGCTGACAAAGCCCGTTAACCTGAGATAACGAAGAGCCTTCCCACCACTCTGCCCCTCCCTTTGCTCCATACCTGCGTGTCCCGCTAGCTGGATCCAAGGGTACTTCTTCTTGAAAGACATCACAAATGGGGACCAGTGCACCATATTCTTGATCTTCCGCCATGATTTGCTCTAAAGATAAAAAAAACCCATGAAGGTGAATGCAATATTTTAAGCTTCTACTGTCCGTAAAGTCACTTCAGGCAGCACGCAGCTGTTTTGGACAGAAGAAGAGGCACCGGAGCCAGCGCAGGATGGAAGCAAACAGAGAATCTGCTCTTTTCCCATTGCCCTGTGCCAAGCCAGAGCTGCTGGGCCTCAACTCCGCATTCAAAAATCACGAGTAACTTCACGAAAGTGGATGGCGTTACGGCGTTGTTCCAGTTGGCTGCTTGTGCTGCAGAGGGCCCAGCCATCATTACCTTGTCTCCGCTCCCCACATCCCTCTGCAGAAGCAGCCGGGATGTTAACCCATCCTAGGGTACCACCTCAGATCACGGCAGACGGAGCGGGGAAGGGACCCCAGGACTTCAACCCGGCCACAAAACTCAACTCGAGCTCCCGCGGGGAACACGAGACGCTCGCCCAGGCGCACCTCGGCAGACCGCCTGGCTTTTGTTCCCCGCTGAAAAGCAGCTGCTTTGTCCATTAAGCCGACAACCCGCGCGCGGCTGATCCGCCTGCTTTGGCTCATCCGTAACTGCATTTTAGAGAACAATTCCCATCTGACATGTCGTGTTTCTCGCCCGATAGATTGCACAAAGCAATTTACATGACTGTAACGAGGGCTGCGTGGGACATACGAGAGCCTCCTTCGAAGGCTCTTTCCTGCGAGTGTTTTTCCCTGGATTGTTCTGGGGAACATGGTGCTGGTAAAAGGCAGGGGAATGACCTCTTATCTCGGCCCCAGAAGGCGACAGCGCAAACAAACCAGGCGAACAATATACAATGGTGACAATGGAAAAATGCCTCCTTGCGGGAGCTGGGACAAACAGACGGCATAGTCCTGTCTGCTCCAAGCTCCTGCATTCAGCCGGAAGCCTACAGATAAATTATCCTCATTTGCTCCGCTCTGAAGGCATTGGGAGGGAGCCTTCCAGAAAGCCCAAGTAATCTCTTCCTCGTGTTTGGAGAACCAGCCCCTGTTCCAGTAACGTTTCACAGACAGGCGGGGAAGAGCCAGCAGCCCTGACTTGCCATTTGGATGCTTGTCGGGGGTGAACTCAAGGCACAGGAATCCGTGCTGGGAACTGCTGACATGTTTAAATGGCGAGGAAGAAGCCAGACAAAGATGTTAGTGTCTAAAGCATGGAAATTATACCAGCCCCACCAGCGAGCAGGGACGCATCACAAGGAGATGCAGGGGCTGCCTGCGCGGTGGGTACCGGAGGGTGGGAGAAGAGAAGAAGGGAAGAAAACAGGTCCTTCCTCACTTCCCAGCCCAAGAGGAGCAGGGTGGCCCTTCCCTGGATGCCTGCCCGTGGCCGGGAGTGTCCCGGCGTGCCCTGGCACCAGTACAGCAAGGCAGGAGTTTGGCAAGCAGCTGCCTGAGCGCGGGGTGACACCGGGCATCCCCTTCGCCCAGGCTCCTCTGTGCCGTGGGTTTGCTCCGCCGCCCGGCTTGCTTGGTTTGGCAAGGGGGGTCAGGCAGTTCCCTACCTGACTTGAGAGTCGAATGTTTTTATTTCCAAACGGAGTGCCAGAACTTGTGCACTTTAGCTGTTCTTTGTTCTCCTTTTGGCAGAGAGCAGGAGGGAAGTGGAGGGGGGGGGGCGTCCCCTCCTTTTGTTTTTAAAATAGTAACATCAAGTCCTGGCTGATGTCATGAAAAAAAGGGGGAAGAACAAGTCTCCGAGGGAGTTTGGACTCCAGACGAGCATGATCCATCTCCTCTAAAACAAGGAGAAGCGTCCTCCCCCCACCGCACGGCATCGTAAGTCACTCAGTCCCAGGAAACACGCCAAGGCAACGCGTCTTGCCAAGCCAAGATTTTGTTTTTTCGGTGGTTAGAGCTTTATAGCTAAAACCTTGAGGTACTTCAAAGCGCAGGCAGAATGAAGGCGAGTGGCACCCGAAGCAGGACAAGCCGCCCTGGCTCCCCCTCACTGAGGCTTTCCCAGGAGCCATGCACTGTGCTTGGGCACTGCTCCCAGCGCAGGGTAATGGTCCTCAAGTCCCCCCAGAGAAACAAAACACCACCATGACCTTTCTGCTGAGCTCAACAAGACATAAAGCCCACCATTGAGCAGACACGCATGAGGAATGGGTAGCATGTCCCCATGCCTTTGCACCGGAGGGAAACATTTTTGTCCAGACACCACTCGGTTTCAGACACCCCTTTGGCCAGGTATTTCCAACCAAAGCTTTAAGGACACATTTGAGGACATGTTTTATGAAGAGGCTTGAGGCTGCTTCGTCCACCTCAAGTCACTCCCGAAACAGGCTGCGAGGCAAGTTGTCACCACTGCGGGGGTCACCAGCAAATCTGCTTCACACGGCCCTTTCCTCCTCGGCTTCATGGGCTCCCTCCTTGGCTTCGTGGGGGCAACCACACGGGCAGTGGCCAGAGAGAGGAGGGACTGTGCCCTCTGCAACTCCTTCAGGAGCTGTTGGATCTTTGGTTTACCCCTGAGCCACCTCTCAGTGTTACAAGGGAAAGTTTCCTTCATCAAAAGGAAGCTCTCCCATGCCCTCAGCCCATCACGTTACTGCCCAGCACGCACAGCTTGCTTTGGAGAGCAGCTGGCTGGGACTGATTTTTTTGGGGGGGTTTACGTATATATACAAGACTCCTGGTTGCTCTGTCCTGGGAGTGCTCGAAAGGCAGGGAGTTTTGCAAGGAGCAGCTCCTCTAGTCAACCAGCAGCTGCACAACTTCATCTGTCTGCTCTCCAGGGCTGCTGACCCGCTGCAGAGGAGACATGGAGGCTGGACCATGGAGTAACAAGACTGGTCAACACCCTCAGCAATCCTGCCACCTCCTTTGTCGGAAAATAAATTCTCCCCAGGTAAGGACTGGCTCTAAAAGTTGACCCTTCGTACTTGCCCTACAGCTTCAAGAGAGATAGTACGTGGCTGTGAACCAGCAGCAGGTCCTTCACAACCACTGAGGAAGGCTGAGAACTTCCAGCAGGAGGGTCTGCATTTATCTGAATGCCATCAGATCGAGGTGAACATCTCAAAGCTGATGGCTTGGGATCCCAGTTGTGCTGACCTCCGTGTCAGGCTCCTGCAGCTGATGACGAAAATCAGGGCCATGAGGTTGCCACCACTCCGGTTTGACTTGGTGGCCATGTGCAGGAAACAGCCCTTCTGCATTTGGCGGGCTGCTGCCTCCTGTCCTGCCCTGCATTATTAATATATAAAGGGACCATTAAAGCTATTTACAGTAAAGAAATGTTCTTTAAACTGGCTTGCTGGGAACCGTAAGGGCATCACCTCCAGGCTCTTCCATAATTTTTGGTTTATATTTCAAGGAGTAGCTTGCATGTAGTTCAAGGACCACAGGCACAGCTGTACGTACGTGGAGGAGTGACCCACAACGACTGCCCCACCTCAGACTAAAGGATTTTTCACCATACTGGAAAAAAACAGCTTTGCAGGTGGCGTTAGCAAGTGATGCTGAGGAAGGGCAGACATGTGCTCTTCTCGTTCTCCCGCAAGGCAGTGAGCACGTGGGTTGTCACGCCGAAAGCTGAGCACGCTTTCAGTTCTTTTGCCTGATCAGAGCCTGTGCCTGCTTGTGGCACCCTGGCCCCCTGCTCTCGCCCAACCCCAGCTCTGCGGTCACTTTCCCTCCCAGAAAACCCACGAAGCCATGTTGACCGACTGTGCTCTTGCACACCCGGCAATGGTGCGCAGCCTGTGTAAGCAGCGAACGCGCACGAGGTGTCTGATGCAATTCGACACTTTTTATTTAAAACCTGTTTCAACATCAGCAAAAGCCGACCGATGAGCTGTTAGGTAGCATATTATTTAGTGACTCTGGAAATATATTTAACGAGGAGTGGCACTGTTTTCCCTAACCGTCCGCCACATGGAAATGAAGCTGAGCAACTGTCAGAATCAACTCTAAAAAGGAACTTTCAAGGGTTTTTGCAGCACTCTGCTTCTGCCCTCTTACAGCTTTTGGTCACTGCGAAGCATGGGTTACGGGCCAGGAGAGTTAATCCCTCCCAGCCAGCACCCACAATTGGTCAGTGGGAGAGGAGTGCTGGGAAAACAATTTTATCTGCTGCATGTTTAACTTTACTTATCTGAAGCTTAAAGCAAACTCTAGGCTTTCCCCATCTGTCAATAGAGCTTCATATGGAAAGAACAACACAGGAGAATTTAGTGCCAACCCAGAAGGTCAGAGGCTATATTGTGTTTAATTAGATTAAACAAAAAGTGACTGATGAGCTCCTTGCTCCCCGTACATTTTGCCTATAGCATATGGCATTCCTTTAATGTCTGCTTGAAGGAGATGTGCCTTTTTGGGACTGCCTGTCACCTCCCTTTCCCAGCGCGGACACTGGTGGAATTTGACTGGTGCTACTCCCCATGCATGGAGCCAGTGGGGTGCTCTTCCCTTTCCACGCATTGAGCCAGAGAGATAGGCAGTAACTGATTTAATTTGCTGAAATTATGGTTTCCTATGGTTTTATGGGACCAAACGTTCCTGGATATAGTGAGAGCTGGACCTGTATCTCAGTGGGTTTTATTAACTAGAGCACGCACCATTAGAGGCAAGATTAAGCAGCTGGAGCAGGGGATGGAGAAGAGTGGCAGCAGCATTAAACTAAATGTTTTTCCCACTTCTGAAAAGAGTTCCAGCCCCCTTCTCCCAGGAAGATCCTGAAACAGCCTAGGATCAGAAGAGATGGAGGAGAATGGTGAGGAGACAGTAGTGTCACCAAAGCCCACCACTTCCCCCGGCTTCAGCAGAGCTGCCGCAGCCCAGGGGCTTGCATGAGCGACACCCTGGCTTTCCCTTTGCTTCAGAGAAAGCCCCGCTCCTGCGGCACATCAACACCCAACCACCCCCGGCGCTCCCTGCAGAACTGAAACACGCCGGTGACCAGGCAGCCCCAGCCAGCATGTCCCTGGCTGCCAGTTCCTCGCCGAGCGCTGCGGCTCAGGACAAGCACCAC